TGATAAGTAGACAAATAATTGAGAAGGAAAATGATTAAGATTGGCCATAAACTAATTAGACAGCTAATTATCTATAGATATCAATGCCCAATTTTAGTATTAATATATATTTTATAGAACGATGTTATTTGTCGCTAACAAATATCTCTGTCAAGAATATTGGCAGTTACACGTCTATGAATGCAATAAACCACATTCTATGCAAATCCTTGTTTGTGCCAATTACTATGGCTCAGTCTTTATTTCAAGATATTTCTGATGCTCAGTTTTGTAATCCTTATCGATGGTTTTGATGGTGTCGGAAAATACTCATCTATCTAGTTTGTTCGTCAATATTTTATCAACTTGTTAGTGTGACAGTGATGATGTAACATTAATATCATAATCAAAGAAGTATTTTATTTCCTTTTAATATTAAAGTATCAGTTGAACAATATACATTAATTACTATATGACGCATACAAGCGATATGAGAGCGCATTGAGATAAATGAAAGATAAGAAATAAAATTTCTTTTTTGTTTCGGTCACCAATTTGAAAAAGAAATTTAAATTATGATTAATTAGAAAATACTTTGCTAAATTTAACTCATAGACGAAATTTCTACATCGTTCATATAGCTTTATTTGCATTTTGATTTTTCATACGAACAGTAGTCTCGGTACGAAATCTTAGCATTTCTTCAAGGTCATTTTCTGGTATATTTATTGGAAGATCAGATACATAGACGATGATGTCGTTGTCCGCGGATGCCATACAAGAAGAATCTTGTCTTTTTCAAGAGTTTACGTCTGAAACCTGATTAAATAAAAATGTACATTAGAAACATTTTATGTTCGCCATATGCTGCCAATCAGTAGATTTGCAATCATCACATAGGTCAAATGTTGAACAACGAAAATAATGATAAACATAAAAATACGATTTCATAGATTTAGTTTTTGTTCTATTTGAACTTCTATTCTTACATTAAATTATTGTGCGAATGAAGAAAAATAGTGCTAACATGGATAGTACTTATTAAAAAATTCAAAAGTTAAAACACTCAACATACCAATTGGACAGAATAGAAAATCCGGAACGACTGCAATCAATAAAATAGCCGTTTACGAACCCAGACAGGATTTTAAGAATGAAAGTACTCAGTAGACTGAATTATTTTGGAAGTGAAATTGAATCATAAAAAATTTTCTTTACTTTTTTCCATGAATGCTTCTATCGTCAAACTTCTTCTCTGGTAAAAGAACGCTATCTGGAATATGCTGACAGTCTCTTTTACAACTCAATGGTAAAAAAACTTTCAGGCGAAGTGCTTTGTTGAAAATGTATGAAATTAAGTGTAGAATAGAGGACTGAAAAGATAAAATGAACTTTTGTTAATTTCAATATGTAAACTATTTATACCGAAAAAAGAAATATTGTCTACACATACTTCATTTTATAGCTGATGTGTTCTACTCGATATAAAAACCTCCGAAATCTTCAAATTTGATCACAGCGCTTTTTAAATAAAATGACAACAAAATACTTGAAAATTACCCAGTATAACTCAAGACTATAACATTGTAGCAGCATTGAAAGACAAGGAACTGGTAAGAAACATCTCTCTCTAAAGTTCATAGCTATTTTCGAGTATATTAATTTATAATTAAAAATACACTGTGTACATAGGTGGTAGCACTTTAACAGTATTTGTTTTTTAGTCGTATTCGGTATGTGGGTTCATTATTTTTCTAAGTGAAAATCTACTAGAAAAGTAGTCTTTTTTTTCGATTTGAACTAACTACGTATGTCTGGCGATTCAAATGATCTATCTCATGGCCAGTCAGAATGCACTCTATCGGATAGATATTTATTTACAAAACATTACTCCTCGAATATGAGGGTCGTGCAAGATAGATTCTTTCGCTGTTTTTATTAGACTGCACATTTTTTCTTTCTTTTCTATTTCAAAAAGAAAATAATAGAATGTTTGACCGCTGCACTCGATTGGCTACGTGTAAATGACGAAGAAGAAGAGGCACAAGAACGATATACACTTTCATTTCATTCTTGGCCTTTCTATTCACGAAGACGCACGCTTCTTATATTGCTTGTTATAAGTCGTTTGGTGAAAAATATACGATGAACGCTAGATATTTTAAGATTTAAGAAACTATAATCTATTATCTGTCCAGTGATGTTATTTAACCCAGCTCACTTTGAATATTATGAAACAAATGCAATATTTTTATTGCATACCAAATATCTGAGGACAGTAAAAAGATTTTAATGATTCATTTATTTTCTTAAGTTACGCAATTGTATTCCAATAATCATAATTACAAGATAATTGAAAAGTCGATATCAGCAGCTAAAAATGAAATTTGCTTTAAAGAAATGTTTGCTACCGGATTGCTTTTTTCAAATGTATCAAACAGCAGATTTTGCAGCGTTGATATTTACGTATAAATTATTTTTATTTAGATTAAAACTGAAATAAACTTGTGTTTTTCTATTCAATGAATAGTTCATTTTTGAAATTCACTCTACTAAAAGAATACAATATCACGTCATCGAATTGGATAAAGTTGCACTGGCTATGTGTCGAATACATTTTAAACAATAAAGAAAAGAAAAAGCTAAATAAAGAATTTTGTATCTTACTGCACATATCGGTTTATAATATTTTTTTATTGATTTTGATGGTCATTTGATTGAAAAATGATATATCTTCTAATCTTGTAAATATTCAATTATCAAATCAACAAATTCTTTTAACTATGATAGATCTTTAACTAGATAAGTTACTTTTCTGTGTAATGATCGAAGACTTTGATAATGTCCAGTAGGGTCATGCTATAACTTTAAAAAAAAATAAAGATGATTTTTCTTCGATGAAATGTAGAATGTCCGTTGAAATCAATATCTTAATTTCTTTGTTCGTATGGGAAAACACATAGTTTTTCAATATACATTGATGCGTCTCGTGGCTCTACTTAGATAGGCAATGAAGATACGTATGTTAAATTCTTTACCATACTAGATACATTTATTTCAGTATTTGATCCGTTTAAAATTTCTCATCGTTGAAATTTATCTTGCTAAATGAATAATTTATTGCAAATACCATCCGGCACCGATTGAGATATATTTGATGACTTGAAGAATAGATGATAGAATAAAAAGTAATGAATTCGAAATATGATCCGTAAGAGATTTTCAGATAAAATTTTATTATAACTTTATTTTCATAGGTCTTTACAAAATTTAATTTGAACAATAACCATTACCAATTTTTATGTGGTATTCATTTTGATGGATTGAAAGTTGTATAAAGAGAAAGATTCGTCTGTCTCATAGAAAATAAAAACATCGTTAATCAGCTACTGCGGTTGTTGTTCAATTAATCGCAATATATTCATGAAACATATTAATATCTGTGGTAACAAATCTATGTTCTTCTTCAAGCGTATTGAATCTTTGTGTCGATTTAAACCAAACTCTAAGAAATCTAGGATAGTGCAAAAAACGGATAAATATTATTTTTAATTTTTGATACTATTCTTAACGAGCAAGTTATTGATTATTGCATTATTATCATTTTAAGCCAATTATTCTATAAGATCGTTCGCCAAACGAAAGGCCCACTGTATAATATATAATGTACATGCATGACAAGAAAAAAAGACAGATAGAGAGAAGGTTGAAATAGAAGAAAGATCTTTCGAATTTCTATTCCTTTATATCTTGCTTGAATAGAATGAAAGAGAAAAACAATATTTGATGCGTGAGAAAGTTCGAGTTATATTAAATCGCATCAACATTTCTTTCTCTTTTTAACACATTCGGGAATAGAATAGTAAGGTGACACAGACTAAGAAAAATATCCGATTGTTACATTTTTTTAAATTTCGCTGTATCTATTCGTGACATCATATATTTTTATGTGATTTTTAGTACAATTTTTGGGACGCATACGAAAGAGCATGAGAAAGATAACGATAACATATAGAGGACAGAATTGGTCACATAATAAAATGGCAACTATTCAAAAGACAAAGGCATGATTCTTCTAATACCTCCAAAGATTCTATTGTGCTCTTTTATATATTCATTACCATTTGCTTTTGTACTGACATTTTTAGTTTATTGATCATTCTCATTCATCAACTGACTGATTATTACCATGCTTGATATTATTTTTTGTATTGATCATGCATCATCGATGACGATCTGTTTTAATAAAATTAAAGAAATGGTTTCAAGCATCGTTCAAAAAGTTCTCGTAAATCAAACTATTTGAGTGAGTCTTATCAAATTTCGATCGCGCTTTGACCAATGGACGACAGACGTTTGTTCATTTACTAACAAGCACTGAATAGCCATCAGCCCGGATGAAGTAGTCCCGATGGCGAAAAAGCTGTAGGTAAGAAAGATATTTTCAATCTTTAATCGTTAAAAGAATGAAGTTTTTTTCCTAATGCCATTGAAGTATCTTTTGGATGAACATATTTATTCTTGCATAATGGTCATTACTATATAAAATATCACTGCAAACTTCTTTTCTCTTTCGTAGATACAATAAAACATGGCCTTCTATTGATGGGAGTCAATATATATATATATTTAATTTTGATTCAGTAATTTAGGGTTCCATTATGTGACTTATTACCAACGAGTTGCCGAGTAATAAATGACAGAATTTTAATCGGAAAGTTTACTTTCGAATAGATTTCGAAGATATCATAATATAACTGAAATTGATTTTTACCATGATTATATTTAAAACCCTTTGGTTCTTTTAGACTATTGTTTTGTTTTTATCGTATTGCACTTTTGCAGGAAAAAGTATCAGTATACATATTCTCGATCATTTGGAAACATTTTTGTAGGTTAATAATAGAAAATTATAAATAAGGAAATAAAAACTTTCAAGTTGTACAAAGTGAAATTCCTTTTTACCTTGAGCTTGAGAATATGCAAAACAAATAAATATTTTTTTTACACCAATCAATATAATGGTTATTTATTTAGGCGATGCACTGTATGAAGCTCTCAACTTTGCTTGGCGTGATAATGTAAACTTCTTTGACACTTCATAAAATTATAGTTTTCTTTTATTTTATTTTTCAGAGTGATGATAAGATTTTCTACGATAAACTTGTGATTTTATTTACTGATAGCGCTCCGAATGGTCTTTTTACGGATTTAAGTGGTAAAGATCCTTGGAAAATGTCACATCAATTTTTGAAAAAGGATATAACTTTACTTGCTGTTGGTGTTGAACCAACTATCCTTGAATGCGATGATTTCTACTGTGCATTAGCTGAAAATACCGGTAAAGGACAAATATTCTGTTCTTTTTTTCTACTGAGAAAATTGTTTTCGTACTGACTTTAGGTGGAAAATGTATTCGGTTTGTTAACGCTGTGAGCATTGTTCCAGCCGCTATTGCCCGAGTTATTGCTGATGAACAAACATTGTATCAGGTTTTAGGTAATATTAGTATCAAAGATATTGAAGAAAATTCAATGTTGACATACTCATACATGAAAAAATCGAGTTGATCGTATGATCAAAGAATGTCAAGCAATGAATGATATTAAAAAAATATTTTTCAATCATCTTTCACACGCTCGTTAAAGAAATGACTTGCTCAATTTTTTTTTCGAATTTCTTAACAATCAATTTTGGTCACGCTACTATTCTCTCAGTTTCAATGAACTTCTACGAATTCTTCTTTTTTCTTTTTATCTTGTAAGTAACATTTTTAGGTAAGTTTGAATCGAAGTCAGGGATGTGGGTGTAGAGTGTGTTAGTAGTTCAAAAGGAACCCAAACCCACACCACACACTCACCCTTTAAATTAGGTTTCCATGAATCTAACGAACAGAACCATGTTCATTGGCTGAGGTTTCACACAGTTTCTTTGAGTCGATTATGCATTTTTTTGTCAATAATAGAAAACATCATAACACTTCAGGAAATCATTGATCTACATATGAAACAGTGATGGAATTAGGTTCCTGTTTTTCGGAACCGAACGAATCCCATCAGTGATTGTCAAAGGGTGAGATTCATTGAAAATATGCTAAGGTCTTAATGAAATCGTAGATATAGAGTATTTTCAAAATTGACCAAGTTCACGGTAGCTTCTTTTATCGTGTGTCAATTCAAATACTTTTACTAATATTGTCATTACTTGAGTTATATTACTTTGGCTATATTTCATTACAGATCAAAATAAATGTACCATGTTTAATCTAAATGATATTAATGAGTAACATTCATAATTTTATTTTTAAACACACTACCCCCCCCCCTCCTCCCAAATAGACGGCCACCCCCTGTATAAGGCCCTGTTCGGACAAAAGTTCAAACGCCCTATTAGAAGACCATGCACTAATTAATTAATGAATTACAAAAATATTGAATTTTTTTGATAAATAGAATTAATAATTATAGAAATATAACCGATTTTCTAGTGTTTTTTTCCGAAATTCTTCCTATTCTCTCATAAATAGTACAGTTTTACAAAAAATGGTAGTTTTTTTAGTGACAAACACCTAAAAAATAATAATTAAGGTTATTAATTTATTTTTAATTTTTAAAAATATTTTAATTAATAACTGACCAAAAATTGGCCTTCAATAGAAGGCCACCCAAAAAGTAGCTGTGTGCTGAGGCACTGTGTAAGATCATGGCCTTTTATTCTGGTGGGGGGAGGGGGGGTTTACATGATACTGATACGATTCTTCGTGTTTAATTGTTAATCATATATAAAGATAGTATTTTAAATTTAGACGCATGCAACATTCTAATAGTAGATGTAGATGTAATCATATCATTTCATAATTTGTGAAACTCACATATATTTTCGAAGAAAAAAGCGAGTGTAAGTTGAATTGTTACGTTCTTGCGGCTCCCGTGTACCCCCCTCCCCTCCTTATTACAGGCATAAAACATAAAACTAAAACTTAGATGCACTAATTAGAAGCTATTTTAGTACAGGTCGATTGCCTATGTTCACCGCTACTTCCATCAGTAATAAAAATCTAGTTTCACTAATTAGAAATCATTATGATTAGGACTTAATCTCTAATTAATCATCGAAATCTATCGTTTTTATTATTATAGTCCATAGTTACGCCATTATTATATATTTTTATTATTACTGACGCTAGCAACGAGTGTATACTACTGGTACAGAAGCTAGCAGCTAGTTTATGCTACTATTACATTCGTTACTTCTACCACCTACAATAAACAGATGAAGATTTTAATCATTTTTTCTCACACAAATACCTTTATCTAGAGCTTGAATCCACTTTAGTGTATTTACAATTCGCAACTTTTCCATCCACTGGGGAGCTTTTATCAAATTTTCGTTTATGAAAAAATATATCAATTTCTCACCTGATAATACGAAAAAATATAAATTTCTCCATAATATTGATAGCTATATCCTAAATACTGTTTAAACTATTATCATTCACAATATTTCTCAATGAAATCACTAAAGACTTCAACAGACTGACATATTCTAAACAAAAAGATTTTTATACGTTCTCTCTACTAATATTTCCTATTGATAGATCCAATAAAGTTCAAATGTTAAAAAGGTTTTATTATCTTAGTTTTGGATAAAATATGATCTCACTACACTGAAAAAAGAAAACTTCTATTTGATCAGTATCTAACTGACCGAAATATGTGAATTCCACATTTTAACCCCAACGGGGCTGTGCTGAAAACTTTTTTTAAGAAGTATTCAATCTTATTACTAACGCTTCACGATGAATAGCCACTTTAAGCAGATTTTTTTTATCATTTGCTTTTCTATTAATTATCTCATTTTTACATGTTCTACATATACGTATGTAATGGCATAGAACAGCTTTGTTTTCATGCCACAAGAATGCAACCAATATCTATATATTCCTAAGATGACTACAAGTGCAGTTTTACTAGACTAGAATGACCTAGTCGACTTATATTTGTGTGACACAATGCCCCATGTAAAAAACTTGATTTCAAGAATCGATTACAGATCGATTATAATCATACGATTTTGACTTCTCTAAAACTGATTTTTTTATATTTGTTTACATGGGACATCGGGTCTATGAATAATGATTTCTGCACTTGTCTTGTTAATCATCATAATGATTGCTCGTTATACGCCCACCTGGTATTTTCTAACATATTAGTTAACATATAATATATGTTCTTCTACTCTATCACAATCTATATTTTGAGATTAAATTATTCTATCTTTGACGTTAAGCTCGTATCAATTAATTAACTCTGTCAAAGTTTATAATTTTCTTAATTTTATTACTATCAATATAGTAATGTATTCTCTTATTACTCATAGTAAATCACATCAATTCTAGTGATTTTTTTCTTTATCTCAAACGTTTTTTTTTCAATAAAAAATTTGATAATTCTCATTTTCTTTTTTTTGTGTACTCAAAAAAAAAAGAGTACACTATAGAATCGGTCAGTGTGTCCGGCCGTCCGTTTATTCGATAACTCTTCACAATTACATTCGATTGAGCTGAAATTTTGTGCACAGAATCCAGGCAGACATGACCTTCAAAAAAACGCGTTAATACGAGTTAAAATTTCGTAAAAACGTCATTTTTACGATTTTTTAGTGCGTATAAACGCGTTAACGATGGTGGACCCGTTAAAATGTGTACAATTTTTTCGGAATTTACGCGTTTTTTCTCCTCATTTATCATTCCGAATGAAACATAGCAGGTCTACTTTTTCATTTTTGTTATTTCTGTAGCTATCTGTTTTGTTTCCGTAAATCGTTCAATCAGTCATATATTGTCTACTTAATAACGCCATTTTTTACATTCTCTCATATCAGCAATCCGTTTTTTTCCCGTAGCTTTTTCATTTTCCTTCAATGCAGAATATTAGCAATTTTTTAGAACTTATTGAATCTTCCCTTCGTATAGTCAGTTAAGAGCACATGTCGGTGATAGATCGGTACTCTTATACGAGTAACTTGATAATGCTCAGTCTTTTTATTTTTAATCGTTCCATTGAGATTCTTGACTCTGATGTAGGTAAAACCAGTGCTTTTTATTTCGATCTAGTTCATCAACTAGAGTTCAATTGTATGTATGAAATTATAAAACGCAATTATTTTTTTTATTTAGATTAACTTCAACAATTGATTCAATCCAATCGTAAGTTTGATTTTATAAATTAAAATTACTTTTTCTTCAGGTTCAATACAAAAAGTTAATTCAAGTGTAAGTATGAAATTATAAAATACAATTATTTTTCTAGATTAATTTCAGCAATTGATTCAATCCAATCATAAGTATGACTTTATAAATTAAAATTACTTTTTCTTTAGATTTAATACAAAAAGCTAATTCAATTGTAAGTATGAAATGATAAAATAAAATTATTATTTTTTATTTAGAGTTGAGTCAACAATTGATTCAATAGTAAGTATGAAATTCTAACATTAAATTGTTTTATTTTTATACAGATTTGCTATTACATTTGATTTAATCGTAGCATAACGATTAAATCAGGTGTTATACCAAATCTGAATAAAAGTTAAATAATTTAATGGTAGAAATTCATATCTACGATTGTATCTCAGGCAAAAAAAAAGCGTAAAAACGCGTAAAATTTTTAACAAAAATAAAATCGTAAAAATGTGCGCTTTTTACGGTTTTATTTTTGTTAAAATTTTTAAGCGTTTTTTTAAAATGTTTGACTGACTGGGAATGCACGCTGATTGCGTCATCACTGTTTCGACTTCGATTATATTCTATTCGTTTTTTCTTCCACGTGATTCTTTCTCTGTTTGTGATCGTAGCTTGTATGCTTGTGCCTATTTTCGTAAGCATCCGCAAAAATTGTATAAAAAACCAAAAAGAATATATATGGATGGCACGAATAAAATATGCACAATCAAAAAAAAATCTTGCTCAAATTACAGCTGTTCTGAATTTGTACGAAAATAGAAATAATTACTATCTACTCAGGACAAAAAAGACACTTCATGAAAAAATATTCTCATAGATATGCTTAGCATTCTCTGATGGAATTCACTTGAAGAAGAAAAATAGCAAGAGCAATAACACGGTGGAAAAAAATACATACCACGGAAATTTCCAACTAGACATAAAAGTAAATCCATAATACTGACTCATGTAAAGAAAAACATAATGACTTTAATTACTTCATAAGTGGCTGTTTCATACAAACTAACATCTATTAGTCAAGATAAACAATCGAACGAGCTTATAAAAAGAAGAAATGCCAAGGTAATTGTAAGCTGCTGCATAAACTTGTCATTCGTGTTCTTTTGCTACTAGTATTAGATTAAGTTTATATTGCAAAAAAAAGCTTAGAATGGAGGCCATCACCAATTTACAACCACAACCAAATATTAATCAACACCGAAATCATTGCATTGCAGTGTGTCTTCTAGGTGATTATTCAGGTAATACAGCGCTCTCCAAAAAGAAGAGTGGCCTTTTTAGAATCTCCAGTGCGGAATATTTCCAATATGCAGATAAAAAGTTGAGAGACGATCTTAAGTATTGGGTACCACTGCCATCTGACATAAATATGACAGATGATGAGGTATTAATACAAATGGGAGGAAGACCTATTATGTTCTACGATGTTACTGATTGCAATCAATTTATCAGATCACATGAACACAAATGTATCATTCTCATACTATCTGATTGGCATGCACAGAACAAAGAACTAGTCTCAGATTTTAAAAAATGTCAGCAAATCATTGCAGTCTACCGTTGTATACCTCAAACTCGGTACATGAAATTATTGAAGCGTTGTGTTTTCGAGAACGAATACTCTATTCCAAAGAACTTTAGTAAAGAAATGGCTGAAGCTCGTATATATGATTTAGATCCAGTTAGCCAAAGTACACTCATGGAAGTTTGGTTCATCGAATCTGTCCTAAATGTTCGATTGACAGAAAAAGCCAAAGAAGACTTCATCCGATTCGTTCATGAGACATATAGAAATGATAAGCACTATCAAAGAACATATGTAAAACAGATAGAAGACTTCAATCTAAACTATAATAAGAAGGATGCTATCAACTGGTATACTCGAAGTAATACTTTCTTATTTCGCATAGTTAATCGAACATGCGCTTCTTTGGATTTTCCGTCCTTATTTAAAATTAGCTTTTATCTTCGTGATCTCTACGAACAATTGACAGAACTTCACGACAAACAATTAGGAACCTCACTTAAACCAGGTCTAATAATTTATCGAGGTGCAAAGATGTCTATTGAAGAATTGAAAACTTTTAAATCCAAAGGATCGCTGTTTGTCACAAGAAGTTTCTTGTCTACTACATACGAAAAAAACGTGGCACGTATATTTGCTGAAAAGAACCCATGCGGTGACGTAGAGGAATCAGTTCTTATAATCATGAAAATTGATTACACACAGTTGCAAGAAAAGCCAATCGCATTTATTGGCATATGATGGGGAATTTGATTTTGCGACAAAATCATTAACTCAAACGCAAAAGCAATTTGCGACAAAATCATTAATTCAAACGCAAAAGCAATTTGCAGCAAAATCAGTAACTCAAACGCAAAAGCAAATTGCAGCAAAATCAAGAAGGTGAAACACTAGCACCTCTTGCAGTATTCGCGGTATTGCGGTATTGCGGTATTCGCGGTATTGCGGTATTCCGGTATTCGCGGTATTGCGGTATTCGCGGTATTGCGGTATTCGCGG